CAACATACGAGCGGATGATCTACACAGTTTTACGAGGCTTGAAATGAAAGACTTGCTTGTTCTATTTAGACGATATCGTTATTTTCTCGTCAACCTTGCCTAAGCACTTGCAATGACTGGACGAAGTTCTCACGTGCCTTGCAAACGCAGGCCTTCAGCTGAACACCAAGAAGTGCCGTTTTGCTAACAAGACAATTAAAATGTTAGGCCACATCGTAAGCAAGGATGGTATTCGTCCCGATCCAGACAAGATTTCCGCTGTCCAACACTTCCCGCGTACTGAAAAAGCCAAAGATTTGCGCAGTTTCCACGGCCTCGCTTCTTATTATCGCCGATTCATTCGAGACTTCGCCTCAATAGCTTCACCATTGCACAAGTTGCTCGGATCAGGTGTCACCTTTATGTGGTCTCCTGAATGTGAAGTGGCGTTTGCCCAACTGAACTGTGCACTCACATCCGAACCAGTCCTCTGTCATTTCGACGAAACCGTGCCTACGCTCCTGCATACAGACGCTAGTGGTCAAGGCTTTGGTGGAATTCTCCTACAGTGAGACAAATCTTCACGTGAAAAGGTCGTCACATGCGCGAGCCGTGCACTGATCCCTGCCGAAAAGAATTATACCATCACCGAACAGTAGTTCCTAGCGGTCGTATGGTCAATACAAATGTTTCGATCTCCACACCCGCCACTTTACTGTGGTTACGACTATCACGCCTTGTGCTGGCTCTCGAAGATCAAGAACTTGCCCGGCCGCCTTGGTCCCGGGATTCTTCACTTACAAGAATACGACTTCACGATCACATACAAGTCGGGAAACAAGCATCAAGACGCCGACGCAATTTCGCATTGCCCGCTCTCTTCGGAGCCACTTAACAAACCCGCCACTGCCGCACTCGAGGAGCTTTCGGCCGTCTCTTCCCTACATGTTTCGCCATTAGCTACTGTGGACCCAACTTCTCCAAGCGAGTGTGGTTTGTTTTTATCCCGCCAATGTGCTGACCCTTACTGTCGGCGCATCATGGACTGACTTGACGGGACTTGCTGGCCCCCTAACGCCCGTCTTCGCCGACAGCTGACGCAATTCAAGCTCGACAACCACGTCCTGTAACGTCATATCTACCACCTTGATGGTGAACGCTGGGTGCCCGTTCCACCTCGCTCTCTTCGGGCTCCAGTCCTAAAGACATACCACGACGACATGTCTGCTGGACACATGGGCTTCCAGAAAACGTACAACCGCATAAGGTGTCACTACTACTGGCCGGGCTTGTTCGCCTGTGTCGCGAAGTACGTTGCCTCATGTGCCCTTTGTCAGCGTCGCAAGCTACCTACATCAACTCAAAGTGGACAATTACAACCGCTCCCGTGTCCACTGCAACCATTTGAGGTAGTTGGCGATGACCTGTGTGATCCGCTGCCTATGACTGTCACGAGCAATCGATAGATAGTTACAGCTGTCGACCCCCTGACCCGCTACGTCAAAACAGCTCCCGTGCCTTCTGCATCTGCTTCGGAAGTGGCTGACTTCATCCTTTGAGCAATAATCCTTTGTCACGGAGCTCCTTGTGTAATTCTGAGTGACCGTGGAAGAGTATTTCTTTCAGAACTCATCGAAGAAGAGCTCAAGGCATCCAGCACTACACACAAAACAAGCTCCAGTTATCATCCTCAGATGAACGGGCTGACTGAGCGCTTTCATCGCACACTGTCAGATATGATAGCCATGTATACCGAACCGGACCACAGAAACTGGGACACCATTTTGCCATTTGTCACTTTTGTCGATAATACCTCTGTACAGCTCACAACCGGTTAACTTGCCGTTCTACCTCGTCCACGGTCGCTTCCCCTCTTTTTTCCTTGATGTTTCATTCTTATCTGTGCCTGTGAAACTGATGTTCATCCTCAAGTGAAAATATGTGTCTCGTCTAATTCATAGCCGCCAGCTGGCTCACATCAACACTGAAGCCAAGCAACAGGATCGCAAGCTTGATTATGATGCCTCTCATCGTGCCGTGTCCTTCAGCGCTGGCAACGAAGTCCTCCTTTTTACACACATTCACACTCCTGGCCTGTGCGAGAAGTTTCAATCACGTTTCATTGGCCCCCTACACTGTATTGAAGCAAACGTCTCCTGTCAATTATCGCGTGGCACCCGTTCTTCCAACAGACCGCCGCTGCGGAGCAGCAGAAATAGTCCACGTATCCCGCATGAAGCCTTTCACACGGCATTCCTCTTTGCTTTAAACTGCGGCCAAAAGCTGTAGTCAGGATGACCGCTTTCACGTGGGGAAAAGTAGTGTAGGCATTCATTAAGCACATCTACTTTCTTCAGACATATTCATCATCATGAGTGGTCATCATCTTCATCTGCTGTGGGAACTTGGCTTGCCTGGGTTTTGTGCCTTGGGTGTGGTCGCTTCATCGTGTCTTGTGGGCCTAGTAAAAGTTGCCTTCACCGTTGCATCACAACACATATATCTTCGACTAAATGTTCACAATGTTTTATGTAACCACGGCAACAGGTCTGCTTGAGGAACCACAATGAAGGGGCCAGGATAGTCAGAAGCGCATTGTACATTTCAATGTTTTAGATTGCTGTACTACTTCCTGGAAAATGATGAACAGAATATATGTGTGATAAAGAGAAAAACAAAGGGACTGTAGTCTGCCTCAGGCATTGCTCAGAATCTCATGCTTTCTGTTTGGCATGAAATCATAATGCAGAGCATAACAATAAGTCATTGCAAATGCTACTATCCCTTCGTTGGAAAACCTTACCAACAAATCTTTAGCATCAATGATGCACCTGGCATCTCCAATGACTCCATTAAGCCTCTTCTTTGGAGATAAGTTAGTTTTGAGATGTATTCGTCTGAGAAACCACTAGCGCTTCGTTAGGCTTGGATCCTTCTCAGTGTAATTCTTGCAGAGTGGGTTAGATAGGGATGGATCTTGGTTCACAATTACGGAACAGCACCACAAAATAAGGTAAAATCACAAAGGAACACATGAAACACAGGCACCAAACCCTCAATTAATTTTAGAATAACAATCAGCTGAGTATTTGGTAGGTGTTCATTTTAAGAGTCAGGCCATCCAAACTGGAACACAGGAACTTAGACACAACGCATGAACAGCACCACAAAACAAGATAAAATCACAAAGGAACTCGTGAAACACAGGCACCAAACCCTCAATTGATTTTGGAATAACAATCAGCTGAGTATTTGATAGGTGTTCATTTTAAGAGTCAGGCCGTCCAAACTGGAACACAGGAACTTAGACACAACGCATGAACAGCACCACAAAACAAGATAAAATCACAAAGGAACTCGTGAAACACAGGCACCAAACCCTCAATTGATTTTGGAATAACAATCAGCTGAGTATTTGATAGGTGTTCATTTTAAGAGTCAGGCCGTCCAAACTGGAACACAGGAACTTAGACACAACGCATGAACAGCACCACAAATAAGATAAAATCACAAAGGAACTCGTGAAACACAGGCACCAAACCCTCAATTGATTTTGGAATAACAATCAGCTGAGTATTTGATAGGTGTTCATTTTAAGAGTCAGGCCGTCCAAACTGGAACACAGGAACTTAGACACAACGCATGAACAGCACCACAAAATAAGATAAAATCACAAAGGAACTCGTGAAACACAGGCACCAAACCCTCAATTGATTTTGGAATAACAATCAGCTGAGTATTTGATAGGTGTTCATTTTAAGAGTCAGGCCGTCCAAACTGGAACACAGGAAAGACAAAACGCATGGACAGCACCACAAAATAAGATAAAATCGCAAAGGAACTCATGAAACACAGGCACCAAACCCTCAATTAATTTTAGAATAACAATCAGCTGAGTATTTGGTAGGTGTTCATTTTAAGAGTCAGGCCGTCCAAACTGGAAGACAGGAACTTAGACACAACGCATCAACTTATTTGTGCATTCCCGTGCACAGATATGTTCGTGGCTTATTATGATGCCTTCAAACATTGATAGCTCTGCTTAAACGAGGTTCATAGACACACAGCTGACTTTGGGGCTTGTGCTACTTCATGATTTTGTCTTACTTTCTGGCATCATTTTTCAATTATGAATCCTCACCAGCAAGCCCAATCGCTAACCTTGGATCGTGCCAGTGCTAATTTGTGCAATTGAATTACGTACTACAGGTGTCTGCAAGAGGAAACAATAGGAATACAAGGCCTGCCACGCAAGTTCGTGTGCCATAATTATGCCTTCAACACATATTCTCTTTGATTTCACTAACTTCTTTTGCTTCATTTTCATGTGTCAATGAACTAATGCCCACGTCCAAATTTACACGTAGTTGACACACATGTAGGGCAACAAACCACACCCTCTTTTTTTTCCTACCTAATTTCGTTACATTTCCTCCCCTTATAGATGACCTTACAGTCAACAGCCTTCTTTCTTCTTTGCCATCGTCCTTGAAAGGAAAGGTGCAAATTTAGACACGACAAAAGAGGGGACAACAACCTATAGACTTGTGCCACTACCGACTGATTTACTGGCCTTCACATCTGAGCCTATATATTCCACGTGACATATCTTACATGCACAGGACAGCAGCCACGGCAAAGAAGCATGAGTATAGAGATAACGGAAAGACATTACCATTTTGGAAATACATTCATCAAGCAATGCATGCATAAGTCGCCTTGTCGTCTCAGTTTCATGGTGTCTAAATATACGCCTTTTCTTTCAAGATGCTTCCACTAGCCCCTCAAGAGTCACTGCTTCTATTACCCCCTCCCCCCCTCATCGCACCTTATCTAATTTATTCTAACCTACCTAGCTCTCTTTGACTTCTTGTCCGCGTATCTCGTTTCCTTAAGGACCCTGTGCCTAGGTCAATCACTCAGAGTGGGTGTACCAGCTGCTTATTAAAAAGCGACTCTCAATCCAGTCGGGCGGGTGTCAAAGGTTACACAACCTACAAACTGTGCTCTGTAATATGTACCTGTAGTTTGCACGCGCCGAGGGAGCACCGCCCTCGAGCTCCTCGCGGTTGATCTGGTCGACGAGCTCGTTGATGCCCTGCGTGGCGTCCTGTACCTCGGCCAGGTCAGAAATCTCTCCGGGCAGCAGGTCGTCGTCCTCGTCGTCTCCCTCCTGGTAGATCTCGCTGTACGAGGCCGTCATCGCGTCCGGCATGTCGTCCGACGTGGGCGTGTCGTCGTCGATCGACGGTGACACCGACGGGCTCGGCGCCTCATCGCCGCTCGTCGCACCGTTGGCGTCCGCCTCTTCGGCACGCCGAAGCTTGGACGCGCAGTTGTCGAGGTTCTCCAAGTTCGGAGGCCTGTTCTCGACGCTCATGGTGGATGACCGATACGGCCGCCGTTGCCGTACGTAGCGCGGATACCAGCTAAGAGCACTGCGTACTGCGAGCAACTGTCATTCGCAACAGAATCGCGCACTCGTCTGCACAGAGTGGGGGGCGTCCTCACGAAACCGTTTGACACATTTGGGTTGCTTCCTAAAGAACAGTTCTTGCTCTGCAGCTCACGAAGCAGATAGCTGAGCGAGTAAACTTACAACCTCCTTGACTTAACTGCTGGGCTACAAGAGCGCTTCCACATCCGCGCGCTCTAACATGGAGCCGGTCAGCTGCGGGGTTAGGCAGGAGTTCCGGAGTTTCGTGAGGCGACTGGGAAGCTCGGATGAACACTTCACGCGGAGCACTTGCATGCATTTTGAGACCGATGGGACTCCGGTGAAACTAGTGCCGAGTTATCCCTAGAATAATCCCTTAAAATCCCTGCTGCCCCTGCTTTGGCGAGCGTTGCCCACTGCCGTCGGCGTTGTGCATCATTAGGGATCAGCTGACCATGTCGTCTGCTCAAAGTTAAACTACAGCAGGTTTTCACGCTCACTTTAATCCAAGTGCCAGCTTAAATAATCTGCACGCCATTAAAATAATCTGAGCGCCAAGCTTTTTAATTCATGTACCAAACATTCAATCCAAATGCCAACTCAATTAGGCCGCGTGCCAGTGAATTTAATCCGAGTGCCGCTGTGTTTAATCCAATTGCCAATGAGTAATTCAGGTGCCAGTCAGTTTAATCCATGCACAGAAATCAGAATAAAGGGCGTAAAAACGGCAGTGCAATTTAAATTTAGTTCATACAATATAAAAGACAATAGTCGGAAAGTTGAATAAATCATTATTATTGGTATTCACCGCTAGTATTCGTGACAAAAAAAATTACTGCCGTGGTTCGCTTGAGCCGTGTTTGGAGTGCTTATACTTTGCTATGTACAAGTTTGTAGATGAGTGCTTGGCCCGGGTGGAGTCATTTTAACGGCAACGAAAGAAAAAGCAGTTACATGTTAAAGAATATTTTGTGTTCATCACTATAAAGTTCAAAATTGGATTTATAGCAATACATGACCGGGACAGGTCATGTAATGCAAAGGACAGACTACAGTCATTTGAGAGCCGGAATGCATACCAAGTTATGGAAAACCTGGCCGTGGGCAGTGATGAGTCAAAAACAGGTACATGCTAAACAAATTAGGGAGCCCTCACAGCTGCAGAGCGAATTAAAGATAATTTGAAAAGGTTTTTATCCTGCAGTGCACATTAGACGTAAACTCGTGATACTGATGTGGAAAACGGAAGTGATATTTTACATTCGTATTAGTTGTTATCTTTTTATTTAAATAAAATTATGTGTATCCGATGAACGCGTGTTTCAAGCAAACACGCTTCAGCAACACTAGCGTCATCTTTTACATGAAAACAGGAGCATCTCCTTTGATGCTTTTATAAAAAACTTAATTTCACATGAACCCAAATAAATTTAAGTTCAATTTTAAATTGTTATTTCTGATTTCAAGAACGAATGAATATAATCTGTCGGTCTGCGTTGTTCTCACTGGGCTGGGCACACGACGGCGAATGCCTCAGCAAATAAGTTGCCAAATGCCGTCTGCTGAGCAGACTACACGAATCTAAGCACATGCGAAGGTGTACACGGCTAGCCAGAATAATACAGTAGCGATGAAGCATACACTAACATGGACTCAAGAGCAAATCGTAAATGCAATTAATACACACTTTTTTATTTTGAAGCTATGACACCAAAACGTTAGGGGGAAAAGCACTGCGCACTTCATTTAATGAGCACTAGCATGTATAGGCGAGGGAAAAGTTCTCCCTGTGACTTCATGTTTACATTATTCTGATATTTACACTTATAAAACGGCAAACTATGCGTTTTTAGTGCATGGATTGAACTGACTGTCACCTGAATTAATGTCATTGGCAATTAGATTAAACACGGTGGCACTTGGATTAAACTCAGTGGCACGCGGCCTCATTGAGTTGGCACTTGGATTAAATATGTTGGCACTTGGACTAAATGTTTGGCAGATGGATTAAATGTTTGGCACATGGATTAAATAGCTCGGCGCTCAGATTTTTTCAATGGCGTGCAGACTAAAGTGAGCGAGAAAACCTGTAGTGTTGCGCACTAAGAACTAAATCTTTAACAAGGCCAGGGAAGCCTTGGAGGAGCTGCGTCTAAAATCTCACATATGACAAAAATAATGAAACATCAAATGGAACTTCAGAAAACCAAGTGAATCGTGGTGAAGGGTTATCTCATGTTTCTGTGGGCGAATTAATTAGCACCCTAATTAGCAAGTCCAGCTGCATGGCAAAAGTATTCACAAACAGCGTCATACAATTTCACCAAGTCAAAACGTATGAAATGCAGTTATGAAGCATGGAAACTTGGGCAAGTTGGTAGGGCGTAACTGAATATACGAAGAGCGCAACTTAAAAGTAGTTGGAGTAACTATGGAAGCAAAGTTATCTATCCTTGTTTTTTCGCTTCCTTAGTTACACTGTAACTACCTTTAAGTTGCGCTGTTCGTATATTCAGCATGAAATTTGCAACGAGTGGGTGGTTTAAAGGCATACCCAAAACGAAGTGCTCAGGCCAGTTTCATATAAAAACGTATGAAGCTCTATACGGCTCGGGCATAATTGATTATGATCAGCAGCAACAGCTTTAACAGAGTTGGCGATTGTGCACGTGCGTGTGTTCCCTAGGCTTAAGGACACACAGAAGTCATAAAGTCATAGGTATTTCTGCACACATTGGGTGCTACGTGTCGATTAAAAGAAAAGGTTGTAGAAGGCAGTTTCCTAATAATATAGCTTAATTATATGGTAGTAGGCACTTTTCCACTGTACTTGCAGTATAGGCATTCTTATATAGTTCAAAAGGGCCAATTTACAAACTCACAGACATTCCTTTCCTTGTAGAACAACTGAGGCGTCCACTGAGGAGCGGAGCCAGGCTGCTAGCGATTGAGGAGATATGCGCGAATGGTGCCTGATTGTGCTGCTGCATTCTTGTCTTCCAAGGTGAAGTTCAAGAGTCTCCTCAATTAAACTAATTCTTTGGTGGGGGGTTGTAACTTTATGATAAACCTCAAGTATACAGCTGCATTTTAATATGCTCTTTTATTAGGGTCACTTGATGCCCATGGCGACTATTGAATAAAAATACTGATCAGTGAGAAAGACAGCAGTACTCTCTAATTTAACATCTTCATGCTTATTTTTGATGGAATGCATCCTCAAAAACAATTAGTTCTAATCATTATTGAGTGCACCTTTTTGGAAACAATAAAACAGCACTTTTTTTTTGTCCAAATAATGGTTTGCCCTATCTAAGCCTCCAATCAATAAATACTGACGACATAATCATATAGGATCTCCTTCCCGACGACAGCTACTGTAGTTAACTGTTCACTGCATTCGTGGCAAATTTCCCTGACTTTCTATTACACAGCACCAAAACAACAACATTACAACATTGTTTCCATGGCTGCGTATTCTTTCATCACCACACATCGCTACATTTCTTGGTGCACGCAACATTAGCAGCCATTCCGAGTAGGACAATCAAATTTCAGAACTCACAATTGGCACTGCACAAGGCCGAATGGAACTCAAACATTGCTAAGATAAGAATACGACACACGTCGCTTGGCACTGCTGCAACGCTCACAGAAAGTAAAAAAAAAACTGAATTTATCTCAGCGTGGTACTTTTTATGGTGCATGAAAAGTATGCAGTGTTTTCTTTTGTTTTTTCATGCATATAACGATGTACCGCTTCGATGCCCAGTAAAGAAAATCATGCCTAGTTATTCTTGTTGTGGGATAAGCGTGTTATCCAGGACACCATGGTTTTAGTTGCACACTGAAACACTTTATTCTTAGTACTATACCTGGTTACTTTATCATCTTTAAAAATTACACGAATAATAAATTGAATTTCACCCAAAGTAATGGCCAGTAGCCCCAAGAATAGCAAAAAGATAATCAAAAAAATATCTGAGCACATACAAAAACCTACTCAAGATGAGCTGTAACCCTACGCTTATGGCTGAAGGAAGCTCCTCATAAGAGTGTTCACTGACAGTTATATAAGCAGTGCGGGTGCCACTTGGACCACGAGGGCAGCTAACCCCGAGTGGCCATACAGAACAAAGAAGGCAGGAAAGGGATGCAGTGTGAAACAATCTTTTATTGGTGACTTCAGATTTAGGTGGACATGTGCTCTTCCAATGCCTGGCTCATCCACTGAGGGGCAACGGAGCTGATCTTTTCGATGATGTTGTTCACTTGGAAGCACAGGCCCTGGATTTGCTGGTTCCAGGACGGTAGCACCTCGCGGCCTGTAATGTGGCATGCCGCAGGTCAGGGGTATCGGCACTCAATAATACTCTACACTACCAAAGAAAAGAAAAACACCCAAGTGTATACTTTTTGTGAGCATATTCAACAGATGTCTGCACGCTGGACGAGATCACAGGCCCTGAACATTTTCTGAGGCACAGTGTTACAGCATAAGCTGTTATGAGTGCAAATAAACAGCCGATCTTAATGTTGTCCATCACAGCTACTGCTTACCCTACATTAAGAAAAACAAACCAGGGATTGTGCAGGGCATGAAACCAGGCACTTTTATTCATTCTTATTTATTTATTATTTATTTATTTATTTTCAACACGATGTTGTGGGAGTTGAGGTTCTACCACACAGCCATGCCAGTGCTGAAGCTTCTTCGCTAAAAGGCCCTATGCAGGCACCAAGACGGGTGAAGAATAACGTCAACAGATTGTGTGGCAGATGAGTAAAATAAGCATCACAATGCGAACAGCGTAATGAGTGGTGGGTTCAAAGCTTCAGTCACAAAACGAGCACTTAATTTAGAGCGTAACATTATTTACAGAAAATTCCTGTGCCCAAAAAGCGGTTAAATTAACATACGTCGCTGAATTCAAATGACGGCATGAAATTTCGGCGATGGCAGCGTGTTGCAACAGAGGAAATGAAACACGCGCAACAAAAACACGAGCATCAAAAGACGCCATAAGCGTGCCTCCTCTTCCCTGGAAATGGCTGCCGTTGATGAGCAGTTCCAGATCAAACGCCGGGTGATGTCCAGAACCATCATGAAACGAAGCATGATGCAATGCCGGGCAATGCCACGATCAGTGGAACCGACAAGAAGAATCTTGCCCTTTCCCTAGCTTTAACTGTGCTATGCACCGACAAATCATGTGGAATTTTTGTGGAACCAGTGGCGTGTGGATATAAACAGGTGGTGATGAGTGTTGAGCAGTGAGTGAGTCAGTGAATGAACAATGAAATCCTAAGGTTGTAGCGCAGCTCTGAGCATGAAGAAAAGAAGCCAGCGAAGAAGGGAAACACAAACGACAGGATGAGCATAGTATTTCCCGTCTTCACTGCCTTTTTTTTTTTTCACGCTCAAACAGAGCCGTGCTATAACATTACGATTTCTTCATACGCCAACTCGCCCAGTCTACAGCACTTGTCGAATGAACAATGGTGATGTTGGCAAAATTTTGTTGTTTGATGTGTGATCAGTCGAACTGGAAGAACTGACGCTATCGGAGCTGTGGAAGTTTTGAAGAGTGCTTCCTGGAAGAGAAACAATAGAGTATATTGACTAAGGGAAACAACGACCATCGGCGCTGGAGTTTGCGTCCTTCCTGGAAGAGAAACATTCAATATGTGTTCAAAAAATTGTGGACTGGATAGATACATTTGGTGAATATTCAAGACTAAGTATTCTCAAATATAGTTTGTGATACATAAGACCGCATTTGTGGTGCGAGTTGTTTGTTCGTCCTTATTGCTTTGAAGACCATCTGAGTTTACTACAATTGGCATTGGTTCGGGTTGCTCAATAGTGAACTTTAGGTTTGAAGCGAATAGTGATTTTGATCCAATATCGAATCAAATTTAAATAGCTTTATATCACACGTTGTAGAAGAAAATGGGCATCATTATCATGACCTAACCTGCACAACATACTATATTTATTCAAATCTAGGCTGATAGGTTTTTTCTTTTTTTTTTGCAGATTTTGTTGCATCAAACTCCAGGGTCGGCTTAGATTCGAGGATTTTGAAAAACGTGCCATTTTTCATTGATAAAAGTGGTGCACCACCTAGACGATATTATAGCCGTTCATAGCCAAGCCAACACATACACACGTGAAGCTGCGATTTCGAGCTCAATGGCACCAAACAGGCGGTGTCATTATAGAGCCGTTTATGAAAGGAAAGTTGTCCGAGCCGTGGAGTCATCCAGCGTTCAAGCAGGGCCGAAAAAATGTGCATCACTGGAGGCGCTGCAGTGTGGGACAAAACCCCGGGAACTTTGATTGTGCACTCTTTTAAGAAGCGCGGCATATCCAATGCCCTTGATGCCACAGAGAATTATGCGCTACTTCAAGACTGCGACAAAGAAGTCAGCGATGAGACAAGAAGCGACGGCGACTCGGAATGGGCGTGCGATCGGCAAGCACAGCATTTTCACGATACAAATAACTAGAAGCAGCGTGAAAATAACGATGACTAACACACACAACGAACTAGCGGCTGTATTTTTCCAGAGTTATCTTCATCATGAAGCAACTGTTTTGTTTCATCTTCATGTTCAATAAATGTTTTCTCTTCGTGAAAACTGTCTTTGCCACCCCCCCCCCCCCCCCCTCGGGACTTCCGACCTTTGGGGGTTAGCTTGGAACCATGGTTAGCCTAGATTCGGGTAATACGATATATATATTTAAATTGAAACGAGCCTTTAGCAAATATCGTTTTGTTAGTTCAAAAGAAGTGGAAACAATTTAAATAGTAGCAGAATTTGACTTTTGGGAGGATGCAAATGATAACTTGTAAAAGGTGTTACGCTTTAATGTCGTGACAAATGCTGTCATTGGTTTTGATTTAGCTGACATAGGAACTTGCCAGTATCCTTTGGATAAATCAAACTTCAAAAAAATAATTTTTTCATCCATTTTCACAAACAACAAACCGGTTCAAGGAATCAACTCTACGTCGACTTCCAGCGCATCATTTACTTTGCGAAAATTGATGCACAGGCGGTATGCGTTGTTCGGTTTCTTCGCTACAATAAATGAAGAACTGTACAGGGACGTTGACCTTTCGATGACTCCGAGGCATAACATTTCTTCCGTTTATTTTTCTATAGTATCCCTCAGTGCAAAAGGCATAGAATACCGTGGAACTTGGATGGGTGTAGGTGATGTTAAGTTGAGTTTCCACTCAGCAAGATTTGTTCGTCCAGGAACATCAGAAAATGCATCCTTAAATATTTTCAAGAACTCTCTGATTTCTTGTCGTTGACGTGGCGACAGCGTCCCAATGAGTTTGACTTCTACCGAACTATCATTTTGCTTGTTACCGTAGCATGGTATCTGCTCGTTACAAGCTTAGTCTTCAGTGGCAATAAAGGCACAGTTCATGACTTTCAGCCCAGCTGTACTTTCAAAGTATTTTCTTCACATGTTTGTGAGTTTGGCTTTGTTTCCCAAGTCAAGCAGGAAGTCAATGTCATTTTTCTTGAGCTATACTGAACTATATGAACTACACTTAGAGCATACAAGCTGGTATAACAAACTTTCAAACGTCAAGAATGATCAATCGATGTGAGGGTAAAGTGTTCACTTAACCGTGAAGTGGGCCTTTCTGGCAGTGCAATATTTATTTCCAATAATTAGATGTTTTCATGGCTCAGCATCTCTTCACTGCATGTGAAAATCCCTTTACAGGAAGTTACATGTAGATTAATGCTATACATCTATTCGTTCATTTCGAATACTTCGAATAGTTTAAGAGGGAACGTAGCAAAACTATATCTGTTATATATTAGAATAAATTGATAAAATGTGGCACGCTGATGTGATTTGTTATGCGTATATCAATATTTAAATCAGTTTTAAGATAGTTTTTATAGTTCTTGAGTTATGACATTCAATATATCCTAACATCCATCCCCAAAATATTTCATTAATTAGATATATTTGGGTAGCACACATGGTTAAGCATATTCAACAAGGCCCACTGTGCGCCTTAATGCTATTCATTAATTTTTTAAAGTCTAAACTAGCACCAAAAAAAAAAAATGTCTGAGCCATCCGAATCATATTTTCTTATCAACATCTTTTGCAAAAACACAATTATAAAAGATTTTATAATGTGCAGAGAAAAATAAATAGCGTTTCAGGCGCTCACCAATGTTTTAGGATCTAAGTGAAATAAACAGAATGATTCTAGATTCATTAGTTATGAAGTAGCACAGGGATGACTAACAGCAACTGCACAAAAAAAGGGAAGCTGAGAAACAGAGCTCAAAGTTTTATTTCATGAAAGTAGTCAATTTTTAACTTTGAAGAACAATAATCCACCTGGGATGCAGTCCTTTGTCTCAGTAGATGCATTTTCTTTTGATTTCAATTTAGTTTTTAACTTCTTCGGAGCGGCAAACTGAATGTGCCATAGCACTCTGAACGCTTATCACAATGTTGAGGGACTCAATACCTTTCTGGGTTCTGCCATGTCGGCACCTTTCCAGAAGTCCCCTTGCCAAAAGGCTCTTGGCAGGAAGCTGCAGCTTGTGTGCAGGCACTGGCTCCCCTGAGGCTGCCGCGGCATTAGACTTGCAGTACGAGTTCACACTTGCGCTCATGGTGTGGCTTTTTATCAGTAGATGTGACGTGATGGAAAATAGCCATGATGGCCATTTACATGGCAGGAACATCCCTGCGATTACTTTTTATGGCACATTCATAATAGTTAGTCCGCTTTTTAAATAGGCCATGTGTCAAGCGGCCTCTTCCACTCATGCTGAGCTCCTGGTCCTTGCTTTTGTTTTAGGGGCGAAGCTCCTTAGGGCATAGGCTAGTCCCACGTTGTCGTAGCCACCTTTTCTAGTTTTTGGAGTGTTCACTAGATGGCGCTGAGGGTACTCTAGTACTAGTTACAAGACACAAGGCAGTTATAACAAGGCAGTTATAAATAACTAGATAACAAGGCAGTTATAAAGTGAGAAAAACAGGTATCCAAGCCTGCAGAGGTAAAACGGGGGCTTAGGCAGAGGTGTCCACCCTTGTTATTCATGATGTACCCACGAGGATTAGAGGCCAAATTAGAGAGAAGTGGACTGGGCTTCAACCTCTCTCTCGTCAAACAAGGAAACCTCATTGAACAGGCACTACCAGCATTGATGTACACAGATGATATAGTCCTAATGGCCGACAACAAGGAAGATTTGCAAAGATTGATGGACATCTGCGGTAATGAGGGAGATAGGTTAGATTTCAGATTCAGTAAGGAAAAATCAGCTGTCATGATTTTTAATGACAATATAGGTATTGAACTTAGAATACAGGAGGTCACGCTAGAGATAACAGATAAATACAAATATCTGGGCCGTGCAATGGGGCCGGGTACCTAAGGGACCACGAAATATACGTGACGACCAAAGGTAACAGGAATGCAGCGGTGATGAAAAACAGAGAGGGAACTGTGGAATTACAATAGGTATGATGTTGTGAGAGGAATATGGAAAGGGGTCATGATTCCTGTTCTGACGTTCGGCAATGCGGTCTTGTGCATGAGATCAGAAGTTCAAGCAAGATTAGAAATAAACCAACGTGGAATAGGTAGGCTTGCTTTAGAAGCTCACGGGAATGCACCAAATCAGGGAGTACAAGGTGATATGGGATGATCATCATTTGAGGGCAGGGAAGCTAGCAGCAAGATAAAATTTGAGAAGCGATTGAGAGAAATGGGGGAGGAGCGTTGGGCTAGGAAGGTATTCAGCTACTTGTACATGAAGAATGTCGATACAAAATGGAGAAAGCGAACCAGAAAATTGACTGGTAAATACTTAGAAAACAGCAGGCGGCCAAACCGAAAAGAATTATCGGTTGAGAAGAAGGTGATGGAAGCTGAGACCAATATGTGGAGAATTGGCATGATTAAGAAGTCCGCATTAGAGATTTATCGAAGTTTTAAGCAGGAAATGGCAAGGAAAAAATCTATGATAATACTCGGGGTAGTTCTCTACTGTTTGAGGCCAGGATGGGAGTATTGCGAACCAAGACATATCGGGCCAAATACGAAGGGGTAGACACGGTATGCAGGGCGTGTGGAGAGGAAGAGGAAACTGCCGAACACTTGATAATGTTCTGTAAAGGGCTTCACCCTATAGTTCAGGATGATGGCGCAGAATTTTTCAAAGCACGGGGGTTTTGGGACAGGGAGGGCAAAATAGACTTTAAGCGGGTAGAATTAACTAGAAGGAGGTCATCTGATTGGTGGCTAAAGTCAAGGCATGAGTGAAAATTAAACCCTTCACTGCAAAGTACGAGTCCTCAGCCTCACTACTTAAAGGGCAAAAAAAAATAAATCTAGTTTTTGGTTCACTAAGTATTACGGCTTGATGACTTCAGCCACCGCCCGATGTAAAGGGTACAGCCATATCAATCAATCCATCCATCCATCCATCCACTATGATTGCGAACTAGATGACACTCACTGCGTTGGAGACGCATGCTCGAGTCTGAGATGAGATGGTTAAATGGCGCATTTGGGCTCAAATCTGATTGGATGTAGGTGCATTGCTCTGGTTTAATTTGATAACGCTGGAGTCTCACCTCACCTCGAATATCATTGGATCTGGGCACTGTTCGAGATCGTTCAATGCGATGGGAGACTTCGAGGTGTCTCTCTATTGGCGGCCTTCCTCTTTCTCTGGTAGTCTGCGCGCTTAGAGTATGAACAGAAAGGCAGCTGATCAGTGGGCTCGGAAAGCTGCCGCAGTGCGCCCTCGTCGACAGGACCCAGAGGCGAGAGCTTGAGAAGCCGAAGCAGCACGGAATCGCAGGCAAACGGATCCTGAGCTGAGACCCCGAAAAGCGGCGATGAAATGCGTGCACAGGCATGTGGATCCCGATGCAACGTGGGAAGCCGTGGCCAAGCGTCTTAAGTGATCACAGCCCAAAAGCGCAGACACACACATCAAGCAGGACTTTCTAGATCGCAGTTTCGGCCACAGCTGCAAGTTTTGCATTCGCTTGTGGTTCGGTTTACCAATGAACCTTCCAAAGCTCCGCCACTCATCATCATTTACCCCGTGGATACACTGAAATTTTTTTCAACTGGGTTTTGTAAAACTGTGCTCCTTCTTTTTTACATGGTTTACACATTCTTGATTTTGTATGAGTTTGAAGCCATACTCTGTATTCTCACTGTGGGCAGTATAGGTGCGGCTATCACCGTTGCAAGGTATACTACGTAGCAGAGCTGGCGTTCTTGGAGCGACCGCTCAAACATTGTCTTTGCCGCAATAGTTTCCATCTGCCCTGCATTTGCTTCTGTGTTCTTTTGGCACTGTGGTTCTCGTTTCTCATACCACTCCCTGTATCCATTATCTTGAGGTTTTGGTCCCAGAACACAGCCATTCTAGAAGTTGGAGAGAACACAGAAGTCCAAGACCAGACCAGAGTACAACTCGATGACACAGCCAACACCAATGTGGCTTGTATGGTCCTTTGTCATCAATGTGCCATTGTAAATGACATTAATACTCCCTGGCGCACATCCACTGTCCCCATATATCTGATGCACCTTCTCTGAACTTGCAGCCTCTATTGCTGC